TGCTTATTTATAGTTATCAAGCAGAAATAAGATGGCAAGTATAACTGTCACAAATATGTCAAACAGCTCATTTATGAGAGTTGCATAAACAAGACCCTGAAACAAATTGTGATGTTTCCTTTTTAGAAGTGCATAATAATTAAGTCTTATGTCAGTGATCAAGCAGTATGTTTATATATATTAATTTTACATAATTTGTACGTGTCATGTTTTAAGTTAGAAATGGATTCAAATGTTGTGAAATACATACAGCTCCAACTAAATTGTTAGGTCTTGTATATATATAGTGAGTCACATTTTGATCCTAGCACCTAAAAACAAAGAATATTTTCACACTCCAATATTTTTCTTCAAAGGTGAAACAGGAAAAAAAATAGACTGAAATTGGCTTTACACTGACATGGAATAATTCGTGACTGTAAGAAATGTTGGTAGGGAAATTGTTCACACAAAACAAATCAATTTCTTTTTGTCTGTTTTCATGAAATTTGATATTTGTCTCGTGGATGTGCGAAAAGATCAATTATTGTTGTCTACTCCTGACATTTAATGTATGTCATATGCTTGCTAGTCTCATGACATTTTTTTTCTTCGTTTATTTTTTTCTGTAATTTTCACATTGAAAGTTGTTTGGTATCATGCAAACATTGTCATCTGCTAAAACAGTCGGGTTATGTCACGATGTCTTCCATATGTTATTCCTAATGTCTATACTTATTGTCGAGACTTCTTAGAGATATTTTATACGTGTCATATGGAATGAAAGGACAGTGAAAGTGAACACAATACCAGCCTTCATTGCAGGTGTCTTTTGTTTTCAATCTGACCCCTGTAACAGCTGTTTTAATTGGTGGAGAGTAAACAAGGCTACCTAGCATATGTTCAGCTGCTTAAGTCTTTTGTTGTCATCCCTTTAAAAATCAAAGGAATGTTTTTGCTCATTTGACTGTAAAGTGTGTTAAAAGATATTGTTTAAGTGTGAAAATTTTAATGGTAATTGAAAAGAAAAAATTGTATTGATGTTGTAGGTTTATATATATCTAAATATCGCAGTCATGGCCTTTTGTCCTAAGTGGAATATATTATTTATAAAGGCTATATGGAATTATGGTACTTCAGAAGTGGACTCTAATATTTAATATACATTTTTCATTTGGCTGCTTTTAAAAGTGTTTGCTCAAGTTGTTATATGAAATCTCAGTGTAAATAATGAAGTAAAAATGAAAAAATTTGTGTTAAACTTCTATCTTTGATAATAGAGGCATTGTTAAAATGGGAAATATGCATTGCTGCTTTCCCTGGTAGGAAATGGAGCAATTCTAGAATTAAAAAAAAAGATAATGGAAAAAGGAAAGAGGCACTTCCACTGCTTAACTTGTACATTTCCAATTGTTTGAATTGTTTCATTTCAAAGCAAGGGAATCCACAGACACCTTAGAACATGCAAGAGCCCTAGAGAGACGCTAATCATATTATTTAGATCTACATTCCCGAGAAAGTTTCCTGGAGTGATATGTACACTCCCTCTCAGCAGGTGGCTGCTGTTCCCAAGAGATTCTGTGGAGAGATCTTCTGTAAATTTCCTCTCTTCTTTGATATTTTGGATATTTTGATATTGTTCACTTATACTTTTCAACCAATTTCTTTTCACATGAGCTCGGGTAAATGTAAGCTCATTGTAGGTATTGATAAATTTACAGGTGATAATTTGATTGTCTGAAGGTGGGAAGGTTATTTCTTTCAAGCTTTCTTTTTCCAAACATATCTTTATTTTTGGCTGAAAATTTAACAGAGGTATTTAATTAGTGCTAGTGTTATTTACTGAGAAAAATAGTCCAATTTCTTACAAAGTGCTTATAGTATTGCAGTGTAAAGACTGGTCAATAATGTGTCAGTTAAGTTTGTGAAGGTCATTTAGACATGGTAAACTGTATTTGTTTTTATTATCCTTAATAATAACTAAAGTACAAGTATAGCTGGTTCATATTGCCTAAGTTTCATGATGGGAGGGGGTGGGGGTTAATTGGTTCATAAATAGTGAAAACAAATTCCCATATCTCCCTGAATATGTTTCCACTGTGAGTCTTATATTACATTTACTGTCTATGAAGTGCTCTCCCAGACCAGTACATGCTGGGTAGATTAAGTTGTTGGTGTGGTACGGCACTCCAGGTCCTGCAGAGTGACGTCTGTGTTCAGGAGCTGATCCCTGCAGGTGGAGACAGGTGTAAACTCTGATGTCGTCTGCTGAGTAAATCATCAAATTTAACTTAAATTATCAGATGTTTTTCGGAACTTCAAAGGTTTTGGTAACTCCTTGAAGGATAACACGTTCAAAATGTGGAACATCTGTGAAGATGGCTGGATGTGGTCTGCGGTTATGGAATCTTAGCGATCAAACTCAGATTTCATGTGTAATGATTAAATGTTATAAAGATTATCAAAACTACAGGTTGGATAAATGTTTTACTGTTTATTCAGGAGTACGAAGTGAATGGTCGGTCATTAGATGTTGTCTTTAAAGGCTTACCAAAATTCTTTTAGGCTTACCAGTCCAAAGCTTGCTGAATCTGTAAAGATTGTGAGATATGTTCTCAAGTGTTTTCCACCTTGTTGAAAAAGTTGTGGAACTATATGCATGCAACTAAGTCTGTGAATTCTGTGGAAATATTCTTTGATAAGGGTGGAATATTTGCTGCAGCATTTGGTCAATGGGAACAAATCAGTGGCACTTAAAGATTTTGAATGGGAGTTACCCAGTTTAATATAATTATGTATCAAAACAAGGCTTGTGGGAAAGGAGAAGACATTCTTTTTGGATAGATTCACAGGCCTTAGTGTTTTGTAACTGTAAATCCTTTTCAAGGATAGTTTTGTAAAATACACCATTTTAACAAAGATGTCAGAGAGTGCAGCTCACCGCTTATGAACCAGGTTAAGATATTGCTTTGAAGTATGGACTTGGAGGTGGTGAACTTGGAATTGCTTATACTGACCTGGTGATCTTGGAATTGCTTATACTGACCAAAATGTTGTGAAGCCACATTGCAGTAGTTACTGACATAATGGAAGTATTTCCCTGCAGATATCCACAAAGCTTTCTAGTGGTTGATATATGGGTATAAGTCGAAAGTTAACACCCAATACAATGCAGTAGGCTAATTAGGCACAGTGGGCCCATTTTGCAGTTGATTAAGTCCAACTTGCTGACGTTAAATGGCAAAATAATGGTCGAAGATCAGAAGGTGAAACGTTTGTGTTTATTTGGGTGAAATCCCTGCTGAAGATATTATACAGCAATACGGTGCTTGATTAAGTATGAGAAAGTGAAGCTAGGTTGCACTTTGTTAAATCCTCTATATTGGCCATTGAGCACCTCAACAAGTTTGGTCAAGGGATAAGAAAACGAAAGGCAATCCCTGTTGTGTTCAAGATACACCAAACCAATATTGGACATAGTAAAATGAATTGTAGCAAGTTTGTATGTATTTTGTAAAACCCCCATTGTGTCCAGGCACCCTCTTGATTTGACTTAATTTCCACAAAGGAGGCAATGAAAACAAATTAGGTAGATACAATACATGGTTGATTGGTCTAGATAAAGATGTGATCAAGTCTCGGAGGTGAAAAAGAAAATTTATTGGAAGTTGAGATCTTTTCTCCTTAAAGTGGTTGCACTTGTGATTTCACTCCATTAAGTGGCCATTTGAAGATTCAATTTAGTGGAGGGATATTTTCTGTTTGATTTTCTACATGTGTGTATTTTATGGGCACAAAATAAGTACTTACTCTTCAATCATGTTTTATAAGGGAGAAAGGCGCACAAATATAAGCCATTGAATAATATATTTTTAGGCCTGGTTCTACCTTTAAATTAAAACGCTCTACAAAAAGGATGTATTATGACCGAAATTAATTTAAGGAAAAAAGTTGACGAGTTTACGTAAGCAATTTTGTATTCAGTGCCATGATTCTAGATCTGTGTCACAGAAAGGTGAGTAAACAAACCTTAAAACATCATACAGAAACAAAGTCACTTTTGATGATCTTTTTGCATGATGCCAACAATTACAGTCCAGTGACAAGCATCAAAAGCCATGTGAGGGTCTCTGCTTATATATTTAGCATCAAGTGTGAATTGATTTATCTCATGTAAAGATTTTGACACTAAGTTTGGAGGTAGTGTTATCGCATTAAATACACAAAGATCAAGACAAATATAGAATCTGTTCGTGCCATGCTTGAGGGGTCACTTGGTACAAAACGTCTTTGCACAGTAAGACAGCTTGTACTGTTTGTTTTCCCTCACTCATGCTTGTACACAGTATTTACTGGTTTAAATCTCAGGAAGTCCGGTAACATGGGAGTTTAACCAGATGACAGTAATTTGCTATTGTTCTTTTGTGAATGATTATTGCTTGGAATTAATACCAATTTCCTGGAGTGAAAATGACTGGCTATTTCTTTGTAGAATGCAAATCAATATCTCAGATACCTACGATTTGTACTTGACTAAATATGCACACGTCTGTGGGTCTTTATTTGTATATTGTTTTTTATGTATGAAGAAAAATGAGGAATTATAAGTGCTGTGACATAACTCCACTCAGATCAATTTATATGAAAATAAATTATTTAACCAGGAAGAGAAAATCCATGTAAAAACTTTTTTATGACAAAACAGAGAAAAAAATCCTTGTTAGGGTATAGTAGTACCAGTGAAAGAGTATTCCAGGCAATCTGCTTGCTTGTGACATATCTCTGGTTATATAATACTAATATAATATAATGCTATATAATACTAATACTTTATTACTTCAGTTTTCATTCCATTCCTCTTACAGGTAACATAGAGAAACACTGAAGCAAAGGTGATCAGGAAAAAACATTTCCAAGTTGTTTTATGTCCCAAAGCTTGCCAAAAGGATGAATTATCTCATATTTCATTAAAACATAGGCTTGCCTCCTGTTATTTAATTTTGCTCTTCTTATCATTGCAGATGGCCGAGGGGCGGAAGGCGCAGGTGGTCCTACTGGACGAGAGAAGACTGGACATGATGGTACAGGTACGTTGAAAAATTGGAGAAGAAAAAACTTTTTCGCCCCCCACCCCCACCCCCCCACCCTCTATCCCCAGAGCCTCAAATGTTAGGCTTACCATCTTCTTCATTTCCAAATCTTCATATCAGAAAGGTGTGTATCAGATAAATGGGCATATATGTGGGAACAGCAAGAAGCTGGCAGGCATAAGATCTTGGTGATAAAGGTGAAATTGCTAAAATTCCCAGGAAAATGAATTATCTTGCCATATCAAGGTCTAGTACATTGTATTGTATTATATGTCTTTATTAAATAGGTTATGATTTGTAAAAGTGATGCAGTATGGAGATTTTACAGTTAAGTTACAAAAAATTATAATTATTATACTCAAACCAGAAGTGTGGGCCTTGTCTCAGATAAGTAGTGATGTGACTGCTGTGACTGGTGGGGAAATGCACTGATTGCTCTTGTTGAGATTTTGTGATTAAGATGTCTCACCTAACACAACAAGCATTTGCCCTTCTCATTTCCATTATAATTGGTGAAAATTCTCTATTTGATTTGCCGTAAAGAGTTAACATATATCTTTGGCTTTGAATATGATTTTAGAAAATCTAGTGGTTATGAAATATGTAGAATAATTTTTCCAAGGAAATCTGAGATATTTACGCGTACCTACCCAAAGTCAGTGAAGGTATGCAATTATAGATAATTGACTTAAGGAAATTTGGCATAATGTTAAAAAATATTTAATTTTATTTCTTCCAGCCCAAGCTGTATGCAGGGGATCTCCTGGACATAGTGGCCTCACATTTCAACCTCAAAGAAAAAGAATACTTTGGTCTTTGCTTCCTGGATGAAACGTAAGTTTTTTTTCTTTTTTCTTTTACTTAAAATCGAATTTTTAGATGATCTCAAGATCTTCAGGTGATATGCTTGGGCTTCTGTGGATTTTATTGCCAAGAGACCACCATCAAAAAGTAAGCTGATGGTATGCAAGCTTGCATGTAGACACATGTGAGTGGACATAGAGCAGTTTTATGTAAGATGAATCTGTATCAGATACTTTTTATCATTCAGTAAACCCCACTGATATAATTATGATCATTTGGTCAGAAAAGGGAAAACATTGCAGGTAAAGGAAGTAAATAAAAAGAGAGGACGACATGGTAGTTTACTGTCAGGCGATTGGTAGTAGGTTCATATCTGTGGATAATTAACCTTCTTCTAGAACAGCAGCTTGCCTTTTACTTTTGCAAACATTCGATTTAAAAGAAGTAAATGGAAGGGCGACCTTTTGAATTAGACATCTGTTGATTTCAATTTAAATTACCAGGAAGAGCTGCTTCAAAGCTTAGATCTTCACAAGGTTTTTTATTCATCCCAGGATGTTTAAAACCAGGAAAACCTGGATGTTACATAATCCTCAGACAAAAATAAACTCCGTCCACTTTTAGCAGGGACTGAACTCTTGGATTATTTTCCTGGAAACTCTTATCTCGGATGTGCAGAGATTAGAACAAGACTTAACACTAATTATTTTCAAGGACAGGTGTTGAATTACATTCAGCCTTCTATGGTCAGCTCTTGTAATATGGACTAATGAATACTAATTGGGTCATTAGACAGGCTTCATGTTCAAGTAAACAGAAATGAATTACAACATGTGTACATGTGTTGTTTGGTCCATAAGAAGATTTGGTGCTATGTGGGCTGCACTCAACGTCCTTGAAATCAAAACTTAGTTTGCTGAAATACTTGGGGAGAAGCATGGCAAAGTTTGCATGCATTTTGGAAGAGAAAATTATATCTGTGAGTTCAAACAAGAAAAATGGCAAATGTAAAAAATGCTTATTAAATCTTGAATGAAATAGCAAAAGAAGTTACACTTGAGAGAACATGTAATCTAATTAGAGAAGTCTAATTAGAAAAATGATAAAGGCAAAAAGGGGGGGGGGGGTGACATAGTTAATGAAGTATGCTGATTTTAAAAAGCCTAAATTCAGAATTTTGAAAAACAGTTTCCATAAAGGTACTAGTAAATCTGTAGAATTTCTCTCTTGTTAAACATGATATTTATGTTTCTATTTAAACCATACAGTTTATCACACACATTGAACAATTATAGTAATGTTTAAAGCATTTAGCTATGTGTGATTCACTGGTCTTGTGATTGTCTCCCCTGGAGGCTGTATACCACTTGGATTGCAATAATTCATAGCTGGTGACATTTAATTAAAGCCGCCCGTGAGTTCTCTGTACTCAAAGGGTACCTGGTATATTCCTGTCGCCCCCTTTGTAGTCTAATATATATTGCCCATGAGGTAGATCTCAGGGCAGGTTCACATCAGGACCAGATTAATTATCTTTAGGGCATAGTCTATTATGTAAGTATGTAGCTATAAGGTGGAGCTCATCATTTTTTTATTGATCTTGTACCTGATTTAACCTTGACCTTGTACCTGATTTGACCTTTGTATTTTTCTCACTCATATCATCAGATGAAGTGATTTTCAACATAATATTAAAAGAAATTGGAGATGATATGCTCTTTCTGACCAGCAGGTTTCTCTATAAGACATTCTCTTTGGTGATTTCAATTTCTGAATGCACCTTTTTACTGTTTAATGGTTGACATTGTGGCAGTAAATCTAAACACAGATTTTTATGTTTTTAGAAAAAGAAAATCCATTTTGGAATAGCTAGCCTAAAGGCCTGGCTTGGGCTTGAAAGAAAATGGGCAAACAATATATGCACTAAATTAAAATTTGATTTAGCAGTCATGAAGTGAGCTGTATGTGTACATTTAGTACACTGAGCTTAATGGGCATATTAAGAGAGGTCTGCCTTGAAAGTAATTGTTAGATAGACTCCTCTCTTTTATGCGAGAGACCCATTGTCATATACCAAATTTTATTTCAAACTGTCATATGAAAGCATTCATCCATGGAATAGACACCTGAGGGGAAACACACATGATAAGATCATTGAAATCAAAAGGAGATCGGCACTAGCAAAGGGAAAATTTAAACAAATCGTTAATAAAGAGACGGTCCAGGTCCTTGTTGCCATGGTTTCATTCAGAACAAAAAGGGCATCCATTGTTGAAGTATGTAGTCAAAGGAGAGGGCAGCGTTATGGGTGAACGTAAAGTGGATTTTAATGTTGTTTGATAGAAAAGATATAGAGACATTATAAAGTGAGGTGGACATTGAATTAGACAGGGACTCTTTGGCAGGGAGGAGAAACACCTTTGTGCTTGGACTGAGGTTAAAACCACGAAGAGAAAGCTAAGCAAAGGAATAGCTGTTGAAATAGTACAGAAACTGGTATTTTTGTATAATTGCTGGATTTCACTGAGTATATGAATTCACAAGGTAAATATACTGATTTGATTTACTTTGAATTGTAAGCCCTTTTGTCTTTTGTTTAGATATAGTATGTCATGAATTCTGAATATTGAGGTAATTTTTCTCATTTCAGGCAGAATTCAATTTTTTTTTTTTTTTACTCTTCAGGGACTATTTTAAGAGTGTTACTCAAGGTTCTGTTTGTCATTTGATTTTTAGTCAGATATTTTGCTTATCATACATGTTAGTCTTATACATGTTATTTGAAAAATGATGATGTATCCTTGAATGGCTGTTCTAATGATATGGACGAATGTATGGCAATAACCACAAGCCCAGTTCAGTTACTGACAAATAAGCCACAATTTATTCTCAAACTCTGTGGTATTAATGTGGTGATAGTGTTATGTCATCGTGGTTAACCCATACTTCTATTCAGCTAAGTGCAGTATTGAATCATGTCCTGTGGGGGGGAGCTGTCTCCTAGATCACCTGATTTCATCAGCTTTTTTCATCCTGGCTACATGCAAGTGGAGGCTTTCAAAAACATTTGTGTACGTGCAGACATGCATTCGTATTCGTGGTCACATGCACTACTTGTCACATAGTGTCAGTGCTCATGTTTGACAGTATTCCCCTCTTGGAAGTCCTATATGAAAATATATGATCATGAGTCATATATGAGAAGTGTGGGGTTTTGGGTTTTACTTTGTGTAGGTGTGTGTGTGTGTGTATCAGTTGATGTTTAAGTCCACAGATTGGCATTTCCTAATTCTTAATACTGAAGCCATGGTTTATAATAATTTCTGTTACTGGCATCAGAATCTGGACATGAAAAAAACTGAGTGCTCCATGCCGAAGTGTCAGTTTTCCATATTGGTCTTCATTTACCCCCCCCCCCCCCCCCCCCACGTACACACACAGTCTTTATTTTTATTTTGACAGAATCTTTTAATTTACAGCAGAGATACTAGAAAAGATGAGCTACAATTTTTTTTATGCATAGTGGTTTTGCTAAACTATATGCAAGTCACAAGTCAAGATTAAAAGCAGGCAGTGAGAAACAGGAAATGTTGAAACACTACGTTTCCTCCACCCAATGTGTAAAATCCAATATTCTAAAGGTTAGAAAGATAAAAAGTAGTGCAACAATTTCCTA